GAATTGATTTAAATTTTTTGGTATCAACATTTTAAATCCTTTTGTTAATCTCTCATAAAGTATTTTTCCATAATGAAGAAAAATACTATATTCATGAATTAGTAAATAAAATTATCAGGCCCTAGTATAAGAGTATGTCCTTCAAAGGAGGCATTTTTGATACAATTCTTTACATACATAATGATATTAATGCATATGTAGAAGTAGCAAACTTTCACGTTGTGCATTGCGTATGATAATGCCACCGGTGCGCCACAGCTGAAGGGTCTGGCGATGGCAAAGGTGCAGAGGGGAATTTATTTTTTTCTAGTTGCTAGTCTAACATTATGGTTGGAACAGTGGATATTATCTCTTAGTAGACTCATATTTTATAGCTGTTTAGTTGAGAATTTCTTGAGAAGGTTACTGTGAAATGTTTCTTTGTGCATGAATGCAAGCTGCATTCAAAGAGAAAAGCAGTAATGGTCTGTAAGTTTTCTTCTGTAACAGAGAAATGTGAGAGCAAGAAATGTGGGAGGTTTGGAAAAGTTATGACAGTTGAATATGTAAGTGAAATTCAGTCTTGTACATTACAAAATAGCATTTGTACATGTTGTTTTTGTAATTTTAATACATTTTTTTTCAGTTTATCCTATAGTCAGTCGAAACACAGAAATTAAAAATGTGAAAGTGGAACATACAGAACATACTGTCATGATTTACTGTGATTTCATGTGGCTATGTTTAAATGCTATAAAATTAAATATAAAAGTTTGGTACAGAATATTTATTTCTACAGAGTCAACAACCACTACAGTTTTGCTCTTCAGTCTGCAAGATGTTACTGTATTTAAGTAATCTTTGCATTGCTTTTAGCCTTCTTTTGATTTTTGTAAAATACAAAAGAAAATACATACATTTAATTGCAATAGATGGTGTATCATGATGAACAGACAAGAATTTTGAGTACTCATGTCTTGCAAAGGAATTCTGACATTGTTTATATATTCAACTGCACTTTTCCAAAAATGAAGTAATACAGTTATGATGTAAGAAATTAAAAATGTAGATAGCCAAACATAACAACCATGGTGTGTTGTCTTGTATGTGTCTTGTAGAGCAGAAAAAAAAAACAAGAAAAAGAAAAAAAGCCTGTCATTTGTTTTGTTTGTATGTCGTATTTACTGGATTAAAAATGCCACAACTAAATCCTATACACTGAACCGAATGTTACTTTTCGTGAATCCAGTGGTATAGATTATGTAGCAGACGAGGTTTATGTCAAGTGGAGTTGATACTGTGACTTGTAGATACTAGTCCTTGCCATTAACTGAACTGACGTGTGGCTGACTGGCAATCATGACAGTGTTTAGAACCTCATTGTTCCAAACGGAAGTAGATATTAGTCTTCCAAGCTATTAACTATGTATAAATATGACATACTGTCCACAAAATGATTATACTAAATTAAATGTTTATTATGTTTGTTGAAAAAGCACATGGTTGTTATGTGAATGTAGGTCATGTCTGTTACCTGTCTGGAATTGAATTTTCTAAAAAAACAGTTATTTTTTAAATGAGCAGTATCAACTTTACTTGAGCTAGAGCACAATCACTGTTATCAACAGCATTTATGAGAATTTTAGCAGTCAGATAGATCTTTTTGTTTCCTCTGGACCCATTTATCCACGAATTCTATTGAATTGAAGAAGATTGGTTTCTTCTGGGTTGTAGCACTATATAATCTGGTAGAATTTTACCAGTGCACCAAGTTTACTAGATTACACGGCACTACAACCCAGAAGACAGCCATCTTTGTACTCACTGCTGTGAGAACCTCGAATCCTACTTCTGTTGAATTTGTCTTTTAATTCCTAATCCCCTTTCACTTTATGACATCTTTCCATCCACACAGATCCATTCCTTCTTAGCAAGAGAATACCCTTTGACTGTTTGTTATATAAATAAATCTGTAATATTACATAATTGTAATAAGGACAAGACGGGTCGCACAAAATAAATACTATAATATAATAATTATATCAAATGCTCACAGCGATTATAAATAAGTAAAGTGTCATTCATTTTATTGTATTATCCAAGATTTGATTTGTGATAATCTGACATGATTCATGGTTATTATTAGATTAGATTATGTACTTCTCTTTTCTTGTTTTGTTACCTTCCTGTTCAGTGGGTAGATTTTACAGTGGGATGCAAGATACTGTATTTTTTCATAAAAACCTTAAAAATTGTACAGGCTTATATTATAAAACATTCAGTCAGGGACTAAATCAGTGCCAAATGACTAAAGTAAATATGTATGAGCACCAAAATCTGATGGCCAGAGAATGAAACTATTTTTTAGTTGAGCTTTTATTGATTCTTTGTTTAACAGTGTTTCTTGCTGTGTCAGATCCTCCAGAGTGAACAGTTTTTCTGTTCCATTTTTATAATTTCAGTAAACACTATCAAATTTGGTTCTGACAAATCTTTTTTGACATGCAAATTATTACAAATTTTAAACAGTTTTGGAAGTATTAGTGTTTTCCTCTAGAACCCCATGGCTACAGCAAGAACACTCCTGTGAGTGGGTGGCTGTTTCATTTATTTCAAATCACAAATTTTTTCTCCTGAATATCCAGTGAAAGTAGCGTATGATAGATAAACTTAAATCAGTCAGCGTAAGTGTATGTACATTGAAGCTTCAGTACTAATAGTAATCCACTTTTGTTCGCCCTTAAATGTATGTGCAGACTTGTCAAAGGGTTCAAATTGTTTAAAAGTTTTGCACAATGTTAGAAGTTGTGGCATAATTTTTACAAAGTGTCTAATTACTGGCATATCTTGATAGTGTACATCAAGTTCTCATAAAGTGTATTTCATGTCATATCATCATAACAGTCTTCTGAGTTTTGTGTGTTAGTTCATAATTTTCTGTCTTCTGATAATGTTAGAATGAAAAAAAATGAGAAACTGTCACTTAATCACTTATTTGTAACAGTGTTTGTTTTTTGCTTAGGACAGTTTTATAATAATAATAATTTCATTGTCATTCGCTAACTTATCGAGTAAACATTAAAAAAATGTTCTGCATATAAGAAAGTGCAAATGCAGACAATAAATCTCAGTTGCTCAGAGGTGATGATAGTATAAAAATAAACATTAAACAACAGGATCTTATGATAAACTATACAGAGCCTGGCTTAAAAGATGTACCAGTATTCAGGAATTAACCTACAGACTCAACCCAACATTATTAAAATTCATCACTTTATACTTAAATAACCTTAAAGATTAATATTCCTTTACCACTAATTCTTAAATTCCTGGAATGCATATGTAGAGCTTCTAATATCTTAAATTACCTCCTTAAATCTTTATTTGTAGCAAAATAGTTTATCAGATATTACTTCTGGACCTTCATGGACCACTTATTGCGTATGCTGTAACCAAAAACAAATACTGATGGGCTAGGGGCGTATGTCTTAACTACAGTAAAACATGTAGTACGCCAGTTCTTCACCTCTGAGTCATGACCCTAAATTGAGTTGCTGTTGTAATTTTAGAGGATCACCAAGATTCTTGAAGATTTCTGTCTTCTGGGTTGTGCTGTGTAGTGTGGTAGATGTTTACCAACGTTTCTGAGGTCATACTGCCTCTGAATCGCCCTGATGACAGAGGCAGTATGACCTCTGAAACGTTGGTTAACATCGACCAGACTACACAGCGCAACAACCCAGAAGACAGAAATCTTCATACTCACAGCTGTGAAAACCTCAGATCTTACAAGATTCTTGAAGTTTTATAGTTTGTTTCTCTTACATTATTTTTATATTTTATCTGTTCTTTTCCAGCTATTTTCCTGCTTACGTTAAGCTGCCTAGTCATGACTTTAACTGCGTACTATTAAAAACTTTATTATTATTATTATTTAACAGGTAAATGGTATTTATTAATTTGTATAATGACTTACCTATCTTTTCTTATTTAGTACAGTAAATACATTTAAAGTTTAAGCTTGGGTTGTCAAAGCTGTAATTTGGATTGCATTTAAACACGGTTAAGAACCGCTGTAATATGCAGTGAAAATAATTTTATAACTGGTCAGTTATACGCTGTTTGACCTTTATAAATATGAAACATTTCAAAATAAAAGTCTTTAAATATGAAGGGAAACTGTCAGGTCAGGTAGCAGAGGATATGTAACTACATGAAATAAAGTCTGTGTAAGATATAAATACTTTTCTAAGACAAGGAGGAAATTACAAGACCGTCTAAACATCCATTCACACTTCAGTTTACATATTTCGTATACCAGATTTTTCTGATTGGTCATAGTGCAAAAAACTGATCATATTTTATTTTAAAAATGTTTATTTCTGGTTTATTTATTTTTTGTTCACAAGCTGATTAACAATACAGATATTAACCATTCATACACATATATAAAGCATATCAGTTGTACAAATATTAAACTTCACAGAACCATCAAATATTTTTCCTTGTATTTAATAAAATATTAACCAGATGAAAAAAACCTAAAGAAAATACCAAATCATAATTAGATCTATATTTTATGGTATATCAACTTTCATCCACAAGTAATTTTTTATGAATTTGATGATGTTTTATTTGAGTTTCATGTGTAACAGGTTATGCTATATTGATATGGGGCAAAATGAAATTAGCTTCACAAGATTTCATATCTTCTTCTTTATTACGCCGTCTCCTTAACAGGAGGTTGGCGATATATTATGAACAGGATCCTTCCATCCTTTTCTCGGACTGGGACCTGTTCATATATGTTTTCTAGGAAGGTGCCATTGCCTTCTAATGTGTGTCTGGAGTATGGAGTAATTGTTGGGATGCCATGGAGAAACCGGGGAAGCCCCGGAGGAAAACTCTGTCCCCACACAAGTTATAAATTCGGGCACCGCCGGGAATCGAACCCGGGACCACAGGATTACAAGGCCAGCGTTCTGACCGATAGACCACCCATTAAAAAATTTAAATGGAATTTACAGAGTTATTTTGAAGATGACACATGCAAACAGACTGACAAGCTTGATTGTCTAATGTGCATTAATTTTATGTGGACAATGTATAAAATGCTGAGAGTATTATTAACTTACTTTATGATTTTATCACTGTAAACATGTTGGGCCTGAAGCAAACCAGAAACCAACGATCAGTTATCTGTGTCCGTGGTTCAGATCGTGAAACACGTTTTATTCTATGTATTTATGTTTTACCTGTACAATTTTTAGATTTTTTATTCAGTGTTTCAAGCATGAAATTTAGGTCAACAAAGAGAAATTTGTGTTCTGAAGGGACAACATTACCTTATTTAAAGCCCTATGAGCTGCATGTGTCTGTCCTTCCAAATGCAGTTTCAGGCATAAATATATGAACATGATTCCACGTGAAACCACTTCATCCTGGAACTTGAAACTTCTTGTCATATATATGGCTGTGGAGAAATGTGACATGGGAACAAAGCTACCTTTAAGTGTAAAGGCTTGAAGTCTTGTATAATCGTAAGTCTTTCGGAAATATACATCTTTTATTATGGCAAATTTAGGAAAATGGAAAGCATAAATTTAGCAAATGAGTAGGGCATTTTGGCTTCATGATAGTAACTGATGAATCATTTAAAATTGTATAATTTTTATCGTGCTCTATTTAGGCTGGGAGTGTGTGGAATGTATTCATTTGGCTCAGGGTAAGGAATGATGGCAGGCTGTTGTAAGGATGGTAATGGTAGAGGATGGGCTGTTTCTTGATTATCTGAATGACTATCAGCTTCTCAAGAAGACTTTGCTCTATGGAATTAATTAGTTAGGAATTTAAAATATATTAAGAGGCTGATAATCCAGTGAAATGGTTTTCCCATTGATTTTAATGAAATCTGGCCAATTTATTATACACTTATTAGGTGGGGACACATGCACAAATTCAGATACCATATTTCCATGTGTACTGTTACAGAAACAGCACCTTAGTTTCGTTGAACGATGAATTTGAATTTTAAATATGTTTTTGAATGTCTTGGTTTGATGTTATTTTAACAGAATAATGCAAGAGAGAAGCAGGTCTGTAAAACAGGTTGTTAGACGTCATATTGCTTTCTCACTCGTGTCTCGTGTCGCTTTGTTCGTTACCAAGATGAGCGTGTTGCAGTGATTTTAGGTTATGTTGACCGTGCCCGAACAATTGACAGTTTCGTTTGGCCGAGAACAGAAGTGTCCAGCTGCTGCTGCAGTAATTTTGATCAACAGTAAGTATAGATGGTTGAGATTTGGTTTTAATTTATTTTACGCCGCATTACACATTTTCCATGCAGTTCAGATTAGCGTAGTTGTAATTTTTGTTAATCGGCTATATTTATCAGAGACCAATTATAATTTTATACATGTTCATTTCTGGGCTTCATGACTCCAGCTGCCACCATGTTAATTATCCTGTCAGAAAATGTTTGTATTGCCAACGATGCACTTCAAGAATGAACAAACCTTTACCCGTTTCAGGCTTTTTCCGGTTTACCATACCGGAATAGTACTCAGGTCCCAGAGATTACCTTGCAAATTTTCTGTGACTGCTTTGACCATAGCACGCACTTTTATCCATACAGCTATAAAGGTGGGTGGTGTGACAGGCGACCGCCTAGCTCAGGGGCGATCAAACTGCACCCCTCGGGTCGGATTCAGTCTGTGAATAAATTCAGTCAGGCCTGCGACGTTTTTAGAATGTTGTTAATAACTTTGCAAAATCAGTTTTCACTTCCTCATACTTCGTACAATGAACGTATTGCAGTCGCAAGAAAATAAAGTTGGTTACGGAAATGCAAGTGTTATGGTCCCAGTGCTGTAATTTACTATACCTACAGCTACATTCGAGTTAAGACGAGGGTGCATCTGTCAGAGTTAAGGTTATAGTGTCCGAATTACTTATTATTAGCGTGATTTTCTATTTATTTGATGTATGACTGTACATAAACTATGTTCAATCAAGACGAATAATTTATAAGTTTATAACAGTCTAGAAGTGTCAAGTAAACTGGGCTTGTAGGAAACCAACTGGGATAGTTCTTTCCTGGAAAGGTTTCAGTGAGAGTTAAACTAGTTCCAGTCTTTCACTATTGAAGCTGTATGTTTACAGCGCTGCGGATTTATTGTCTTTATGACCTACTTTACTCTAAATCTAGTCCTTTTCCCTTTTTTATATCCTAACCCTTCTTTATAATCACCTTGGTCCTCCCATATTTTCGTCCCATATTTAGCTGTCAAAAGCAGCGGGAGAGTTTGTAGTAATTGCTGACACCCCTAATGTGAATATAATTTCATATGTAACGTTTTGTATGTCTTCCTACTTTACCAGTATGAAATTTATTTTTAGACAATGGACGCTTAAATTCCTTAAATTTTATTAGTTGAGAAGGCTAATAATGAATTTAAGATAAACTCCTTGAAAGACATAAACACATGTTTTCCCCATTCACAATAATTCTTCCTCATTCTGCTCTAAAGAAACCTTCATAAAACAGCAGAATAAAAGTAAAAGTAAAGTAAAGTTTGTCCCACTATACGCCATGTAGGCGCTTGGGGTGAGAGGAGGTATAGCTCCTCTCTTCCTTGACCTCGGCACTAGATGGGGGTGAGTGGTCAGCATCACGCCCCGGCCGGCTTTACCCCCGGGGAAAGACCCCGGTACCCACTGTAGAGGAGGATGGGTGGGCCCCAGAGGCTAGAGGAAAAATCCTCTGCCCCCGTCGGGGATCGAACCCCGGTCGCCCAGTCTGTAGCCAGTCACTATACCGACTGAGCTACTAAATAATGAATATTCAGACTCACTTATAAATCACAGACTAATCGTTTATAAATTCTGAGCTAATTTCTAAGGCAAATAAAAAACGTTATGTTGACTCCTGCTAAGTAGAAAGAAATAACATACCTAGGTGTGATTTCGATCCATTATTTCATCGGTGTCATCTGATCTGCCATTTTGTTTGTTGATAGCTGCACTCTGACCACAATGTCTTATATTACACGGTCATTAGAGAATTGAGTAACAAGGGGTTTATAAGAAATTACAGGCTTATGTATAGCACTATTTCCCACATCAAGCTGTTACTTTCCACTTAACGAGGTCTTGTGCAGTTTAGAAGGGTTGACGTAACGGTCGATATAATGTCTAGATTTTAGTAATCATTCACAAATGAGAACCAAAGTAATATCTCGCGCAGCGTGATTGTTCTCGAAGGAATGGATTAAACAGTTCTAAACCGAAAAGAAGATAATTACGTTGCATCTGTCTTATTCAAGCAGCCTTGTAGTCAAAATTTTCTACCGCTCGCTAGAGACATCGTCGGGGATCAAGTTCGCGCCAGTTTTCCTGTGTTGTCTTGTGATATTATCAATAGCAGTTCGCCTAATAGGGCACTTGGGGCAGTGCTCTACTCATAATATTATAATTCTTTAAATATGTTTACGGTATACACACTCATTGATATGCATCAGTATAATATTTAGACAAAATATGTTCCAAATTCAACTTTTACTATATCTCAGTACATTCAAGTAAAGTCACTTTTCACTTCCAGCCTTTTCCTCATGCTGTCCCGCTAATGAAGAAGGGTTTGGTGGAAGAGGTAGTTGGTTGTCATGCGGGTAGTGGCGAGAAGGCTTACGAGACTGTCGTAAGAGGACGTGTCTAAACA